CCCGGGCGTCAGTACATGCACCACACGACGAGCAGCGTGGTCCCCGTGCGGCAGTTCCAGCCCTTCATGGATGAGAGGCTAGACAGGCCGCTGCGGTGGCTGCAGATGATGGAGTGGACAGCGCGGGTCGAGGAGGCGGGCTTCCTGCGCGCCGTGTGCGAGGTCGGCGAGGCGCGATACCCGAAATTATTGTTGCTGGGAAGCGGGATTGCAGAGGGGAAATGAAGGGTGAGCATGCCAGCGGCCAGTCTTGTCGCTGGAAGACGGTGGCCCCAGCACTGCGGAATTCCAACTACTAGATTTAACCTCTCTTTTTTCACATCTCCCTCCCCGTGGCTGGCATCCGCTACAGGCGCCGGGCCCGTGTTCCTGGCGGCCCACTCCGCGAACGAGCCATGGGGGTCGAACCCGTCCATCCCGCCGGCTTCGTCGCGGGTCATGTGTATAAAAAGGAGTAAACCAACGCGAGGCCAAGTTTATGTCTTTAGCTTGAGTGTTTCTGATTCTCGCACCTCCTGTTTAGATTCATTGCTCTCTCTTCGCTAGCACCGTAAAAAAAAAAAAAGGCTGGTGCAAAGGAAAGGATAACGTTACAATGCAGCTCTTGTCAAAATACGTACAATACCCCGATGCCCCTTCTCCTCGGCAATCCGTAACGGTGTGTTGCCTTCGGTGTCCGCCAGATTAGCGTTAGCCCCTCCTTCGAGCAGAAGTTGAACAACGCCTTCGTATCCCTTTAAAGCAGCCCACCATAACGGTGTTTTGCCTCCGGTGCTTGCCAGATTAGCGTCAGCCCCTCCCTCGAGCAGAAGTTGAACAATGCCTTCGTAACCTCCAGCAGCAGCCCTCAATAACGGCGTCTCGCCCCCGGTGTCCGTCAGATTAGCGTCAGCCCCTCCCTCGAGCAGAAGTTGAACGACGCCTTCGTGATCTTCAGAAGCAGCCTCCAATAACGGCGTCCGGCCCCCGATGTCCGCCAAATCAATATTGGCTCCGTTTTCAAGCAAAAGTTGAACGATGCCTTCGTATCCATTAGAAGCAGCCAACGACAGAGGTGTGTTGCCGTAGGAATTTTTCAAGTTGACATCGGCTTGGCTTGCTGTTTGCAGGATTGCCCTCAATAGCCTGGGTAGCCCCTCCTGGCACGCAATGTGCACCAGACTGGTTTCTGCTCCATAGCTCTCCTGTGCGTTGAATCGCTCCACAATAGCATTCGACGGCCAACCAAAGAATTCCAAAAGGTCCTCTTGGCTGCTGCTTTGTCTGGCGTGCTCTCCCCAGTAGCCGATGGAGTATTGCCAGAAACGGAAGTCAGCAAATACCGCCCGTGGCCCGGCCTGAACGATCTCTTCCATGACCAAATAGCGTAAGCAGATTTTGGATAGTCGATCGTGCGCCATTCCGATCGTATCGATTGGCGTTGAGATGTTTCTCAATGCTGACAGGCCCTTGTCGAGGAAGAAATCCTTGACAGACTGGTGGATGAACTGGATAATCCAACTGCGACCTGCCGGTACGATCTCTACGAGACCGCGACCCAGAGAGTTGATCCTTCGTTCCAAGTTGTCCTCGGTGATAAAGTCATTGGACCGGCGGCACTCGTCGAGTGACTTGTAAGCGCCGTCAGGATCGACTATCATGGCCCATGGCAGTTCATCCGTTCGCAAACGCCACGCAGAAAAACAGACCCATTGGATCAGCTTCAGGGATTCTGGCCCCATCCCCTCGATAAGTTTGCAGTATAGCTCATCGAGAGCCGGAGGGGTGTGCCGAATGGCCGTCTCGATCACCCCCAACCCTTTTCCCTCACGCTCCAGGTCTAGGACTTGCTTCACCACGAGGCGCGCCCACATAAACACGCCTTGTGCTCCGTCTGTGATCAGTTGCGGAATCGTGGATGGTGCTCGGCTGCTGAATTCTGAGAGCTGGTGTTTCACGTAGGTCGAGATGTCTTCGCCGTTCTCGCGCTCTGGACATACCCTGAGCACTCTGTCCAGATGCAGAATCGGATAGTGGCGGCAAGTAAAGCAGATTTGAAGCTGTCGACTTGCGGATGAGATGCTCTGAAGCAGCGACTTGAACTTTTCGACCAGGTTGACCGCATTTTCCTCGCCGCACTCGTCTAGCGCATCGACGAACAGCCAAACCTGGCGGGTCTGGAGGACATTGGGCAAGGACGCCTCGAAGATGTCGTGTAGCTCGTTCGAGTTCCACTGCCATTTGGTCCCCGCCTCGCCCATCCGTTGAGTCTTCTTGTCAAATGCCTCGACAAGATCTGGCACTGCGTCAGGGGCCACCCCGAGAACCTGGTGGAGAAGTGACCGGAACAGGCCAAGAGGAGACTTTTGGAGTTCGTCGCCACGGGCATGGAAGAAGAATGAGAGAACAACGGTGTCTTTTCTCGAGGCAGAAGCTCGTGTGCGGTGGTTGAAGGCGTGCTTCAAAAGCGTCGATTTCCCAGAGCCCGGCTTTCCTTGAATCCAGAGCAGGCCACGATGGCAAGCAGTCCATTCCTGGAATGTTTTGTGCCGAAGCAGCCACTCGCATGTCCCTTTGGCGGCACGTTCAACGTTGTGGGAGCGATCATGCATCTGGGGAAAGGCAAGCGATTTAAGACAGCCATGCACTAATTTTGGTGATAGGTTGGGCTTGTCTACTTTAGAAATAAACTTCCAATTAGCTTAAATGGAAAACCGAAAATTGAAAAATAAAAGTGAAAAAGCAAGTGAAAAAGAAAAAAAAAGAGTAGCTTTTACACACCGGCACCCAACTCCCGTTCAATTTCCCCCACCCATCTTCTCAATTCACCAAGTAGTCTTTTAAATCCGTTCTCCTCCGCGGAGGCAAACCTGACCATATCGCGATGGTTGGCGTGGATGGTGATGGGGTCATGACCTTCGAAGGTGGCCGAGTCCTTGGAAACGACCATGCCTACCCCCAGCAGCGGCAGTTCCTCGAAGAAGCATGTAACACGGAAGGTGCTAGAGCCGAGTTGCTGTTCTCGTGTCATGCCCGCAAAATCGGCCCGAAGAGATTCGAGAGTCTCGTTGTCCGTCCCCAATAGCTTCAGCAGATCCGTGCTGACACTTTTGACAACGCCAAGAGCACAAGCAGGTATCTTGGCCCAGTCAGCCATCCAGGCCCCCCGATGAGGAGTGCCCATGAACACGATGCCTTTGGTGCACTCGAATATTTGTCGGAGATGGGGTTCGGGATTGTTCCGCGAGCGAAGCATGGCCCTCTTGCAGACGAGGCCGCCCAGGCTGTGGGCAACGAAGATGAGGGGACGGCGTTTCGTATCGCCAGCTCTTTCTCCCGCCAGGTCGTGCAAGAGGTTGGTGGCATGATCGATCAGCCGGTTCGACGATGCAACCGACTTCCGTATCACGTATGCGTCGTATCCGTACGTGAGTATTCGAGCTTTGAGGGGCGGTGGAAGTAGGGTTTTCGGCCAGGGTTCATCGTGCCCTTCGGCGGTCCAAGTGCTTTCCCAATCTCCAGTCAGGCCGTGGACAAAGCATATGTCGACAAGGGCATCGGGGCGGTCGTGTAGAACTTTGACCCCATCCGGGAAGGGGGGCACAGTTCTGTTGGTCGACGAGCTCGAGTTTATCGTGGGGACCGGCTGGGACTGGGATGGCACAGATTCGGGGCTCTTCTTCTTTTCCCTCTTTCCCAATTTTAGTTTCGACAGCACTCTCTCCATGGGAGCTGGGAGTGAAAAGAAAATAGTTGTACGTGGACGTGCAAAATGAGGGTAAAATGGAAAAGGCGTAAAAAAAATGAAAGCGAATATAAAATTAAAAGCGAATTGGAGATCGAGGAAAAGGAACTATTAGTGATAATAGCAATAAGAAAAAGAATGGAATATGAAGGGGGACAGGAAGGGGGACAGGAAAAGGAACAGGAAGCGCAAAATCCAGGCACAGCAACTTTGTCTGTTGGTAGGCGAGCTTTGTCAAGTCTGGGCCAAGAGGAGAGGTGAGTGAAAGACCGATCCCTGCGTGGTTCGCGCCCCTCGAAGAATAAGGCGACCAGTTTTCGTTTTCTTGCTAATACGACCAAGAGAAATGTAGAGGGAGAGAAGATTATTGGACGCCACCGGCGCGTATTGCGGCCCAATGGCCCTGCACCTTAGTGGCCGAGCTGAGGAAGATGGCGGCGGCATCCGTCGCGTCCATCTTGGCAAGGGCTTGGAGAAGAGGGGTCCTGCAGCCTGACACAATAGAGCGTAGCCCCTCCTCTGCGCTCGTCGGGAAGGCCTTGGCTGTGTGTCCTTTGCCAGCCCCTAGGATGTTTTCGGATATAGGGACAGACATCCTGGCAATGGAGGACCATTCCCCTACCTATGCAGGCGGGAGGACTGTATGTGAGCGGCCCTCCGTTCATGGTCATTGGCGGCAGTAAACCGACACACGGTGGACTTCTCCTGCCAATTAATACCCTTGCCGAGTTAGCCTCCTTCTAGCACCCACTTGAGCTCAGCAATCACTACAAAGAGTCTTCGGTCCCCGTCAGACAAGCTTGGCGCAAGTGAACCGGCTTCGGCTCTCCGGTTCCCTCACAATAAAACATAGGTACTCGTCATCACACTCCTTTGCCTGGCCCCTTACAGAGGTCACGGCGTATCGTCAACGCTGTTACAAGCGCCTGCGCGCCTCCATCAAATGCCTCTGCTAAGACATGGAGGGCAGTCCGCACTACGAGTACGAGCACTACACTTGGCGGATTCTGCCGCAGAGATTGGGGAAGGGGAACATATGGTCGTAGCAGCGGGAGGGGGCGCTCGATCTCAGGTGCCTGATACCAAGCAGAGGCCGCCCCCCATGGCATCGCGTACAATTGGCTTGGTCGGATCTGGTTCAGGATATCTTCAATGCCGGGGCAGCCACGGAGACGGTCGATGATGCGAAGGTGTGCAGTGTGGACTCCGGCAGCGGTAGCACGGGCGTAGCGAGTTGGCGGTTTTGACCCGGCCGGAAGGGTAATATACCTACCTATGTAGTTAGATATGCACGAGCTTGTGCTGGGCTATTGATGAGTCGCGACTCACGCGTTTGGCAATCCCTAGTAGAAAGTCTGCCAGGCCAAACCGTGTCGACAGCAGCAGCGAGCAAGCTTCGCCGAGGGTTGTAGTGCTGGACATGTTGGCGTAGAATGCGGCCTCGCCAGCGGATGGGACCCCTCAACACATGGAGGCAAGCACCGGAGCAAAGCGCACCAGCGTTCATAAACGCCGGTGTCATACCAAAGAAAGTACCGTGGCCGGTACCCCAGCTGCCAGCCGGTCACTGTTCCCTCAGACGTGATCGGTTTGGAGAACTCCTTGACCGACTCCGGATGTGGCTTCATCGGGGAGCCTCTGTCGGGTATACCTCATGATATGCGGCAGATCTTCAGAATCGGCCGCGTAACAAGGCGCGCATGGCCGGACCTCGTATTTGCCGGGGTTCCTGGGCCGCTCATCGGCGGCCACGTAGAGAGGTGCCACGGACGGGAACCCGTCCCGTGTATCCAAGCTAAAAGCGCCTACGGAGCCGATGGTGGTGGGCTTTATGTCGCAGCTACCGGCTCCGTCGGCCGGTCATCAACGGCGAGAGGCGTGGCCAAACCAACTGACTCCCGGGAGAGAAACTGTAGCTTAGGATCGATGACAAAGGCGAAAGATCACGTTTTAGCCCTGACAAGGCAATAAGAGGTTCCGCTAAAGGTATGCACGCCAAGGAAGCTTAGCATCGGCCTGGGGTGATTTTCCTAAGCAGCGACAAGCTTCGACAGCCCACCGCTGGGCGATTCGCGCGTAACGAAGACAGGGTCAGGTCCTGGGAGTCCGGTTGGAAAGCGCTGTGATATGTTCAAATTGACACCAAGTGAGGTAGGTAGTCTCGAGGCATTGAACAGAAGGAGGGAAAGAGGATACAAGCACCATTAACAAGGCACATATCCATCTTACGTCATGATGTGCAACGTCACCTTACATCAACACTGGCCGCCCGACTGATGGTCCCGAGATGTGATTCACATAGAGGTTGCCCGCTGCCATGACATGAAGGCTGAGAAACAAAACAAATTCATCAAGCTGGCACAAACCTTCATTTGCGGAGGGCTGGGGGCGATTCACACAGCCTGCTGTCGTGCGCAGCGGGCAGTTGCAGTCGAGACCTGGGAAAAGTAAAACGCACGGGCTCCCCGCCGCAGTTGCCAGTTTCAGTTCCCAAAACCCAGTGGGGCAGCGGGCCGGTGCTTCCCGATTTGGAGCTTGGCTGGGATCGACCTCCACAAGCGCTGAAAGCGCCGCTGTCGATGGGTGCTTGGCAAAATCATGTCTAAACAGGAGAAAGCCGTCCGTGCCCTGCGTCCCATTTCAATCAATTCACCATGTCCTGACGACATCACCACCTAGTGGTCAAGGCATCTCCTTCGCGTCAGGTAAGCGCGCACATCTCTAGAGGCTCAAGCCGCCGGGACAACGGCACGCAAATGTCCGACCGACAACAATCAAGCCAACCCTGGCCCAGTGGCTGTGCCCCTAGCCTGGGAAGCCTGCCACTGTCGCCCCTGCGTGGCCATTTCGCCCCGAGTGAGAAAGAACGCGCGTTCATGGAAACTACCTGCATCCACGTCATCCAGCGGGAGAAAAGGGAAGGCATCGAACCCGGAAGCCCGGGCGGGGGGCAGCGCGGCGTCTTGCATTCAAAGCTGCGTGGCTTTGGCTCAGCCGCCGTACACGTCGTCACCAGTCCCTGCCCCCAACAGGCGCGGGGAGATTCAGGCCCAAGGGTTGGACAAGGTTGACAGGGCAGGCTTAAGCATACTTAGCGTTGCACGTCGGTCTTGCCCGCCGGTCTCACTCGGGAAAGTGGGCGGCGCAGTCCGGCTCCCACGAGGCAGGCGCCTTTTGCCAGTCGCAGAAAGTGGATAAAACACTTTGTAACGCCATGCTGGGTCGCTTCGTCTCGAGTCGGCCGGCGAGAGCAGCCACGCCCACTAGACCCAGACACAGTGTCAAGCAGCCACCCCAAAATAGGCCAACCCAGGATCAACCCCGGCCCTGCCCCAAAGCACCAGTCGCTGAACCTCCTTTTCTTGTCTCGTCAGCTCTTATCGTGTGCTGCTCACCGCACTGCCTCTGTCCTCGCTTTTCCATCTCCTGTGCCGTCAGACTCTACTTATACCAGATTCATTTGTTATTTTGCATAGGTCCGCTTGGAAAAAGGCCACGATACCAAGAACATAGCACACATCCACCCTATCTGGACATCCTTCCTAGCCCGCGCGATCTGGCAGGCATCTGCGGACCCTCGCCTAGTTAACCCCTGCCGGCCAACGACGTCGTGATCACCATCAACCCCTGACTGCGTCTGCGCCCTCCACACTTCTTTTTTTACTCATCTTGCGCTCCGGCCATCTTCCCTTCGTTTATTTTTCTTTCTCGCTTTCCTCTTGGCAAATGCAGGCTCTTGGCTCTGGAGCCAGTTACTATTCCAACAATACCTTCTCTTCTAGTTTTCCTGTTTTGTCCCTCCCTTTTTTCGTCTTTGCATTGCCAACTAAAAATAGTTCATTGCTATCTTTTCCAATTCTACTACCGTTTTGTCTCTTTGGATTCTCCCCGTAATAGTTGACATTTTCTCCTTACTCCCTTGGTATAATACTTTTTTGTACTAGTTTGGGGAACGGGCGACTTCTACCACACATAAATAATTCCCCTCGTCTTCTTTCGGAACTAGGAATTTTCCACCCGCAATATCGACCAGTCCAACGAGGTCGCGCCCGAGGACAACGACCAGCGACGCCCGAAGCCAGGGTGAGAAAACGAAGCGCAAACTAGGGAGACCGGAAGAGGCGGGAGTTGCAAATATGAGGGTGGCGACAACATGCATAACCGCGGCGATGGCGCTACTATGGACGGCCACGGAAGCGACTAGCATACCGAGGCGGAGGTCAGGTACTCCGGCGCTCAAGGTGATGGGCATGTCGACGGAGAGGAGGGCGATATCAGACCCGCTGGGTCACGACAGGATACGCAGGAGGGGTACGGTAGAGGCTTCTCTCAGCAACCAGGAGACGCTCTACTTCGCCAACCTGACCATTGGCACGCCGCCGCAATCGCTGCGGCTACACGTCGACACGGGTAGCAGCGACCTGTGGGTCAACTCGGCCAGTTCACGGTTGTGCCTGTCGTCGTCCAAGCCGTGCGACTTTGCGGGCACCTACGCGGCCAACTCGTCGTCGTCGTACGAGTACATTAGCAGCATCTTCAACATCTCGTACGTCGACGGTTCTGGTGCCCAGGGAGACTACGTGTCCGACGTTGTCACTGTCGGCAGCACACGTGTCGACCGCCTGCAGTTTGGCATTGGCTACTCGAGCACCTCGACCCAGGGCATCCTTGGTATCGGTTACGAGCTCAACGAGATGCAGGTTGGCCGCGCAGGCCTGAAGCCATATCGCAACCTGCCTACCAGGCTGGTCGAGCAGGGCGTCATCTCATCACCCGCCTATAGCCTCTGGCTGAACGATCTCCAGGCCACCACCGGCAACATTTTATTTGGCGGTGTCGATACAGAGAAGTTCCAGCCCCCGCTGTACACTGTGCCCATGCAGCAGAACGGCGGCATATTTGCCGAGTTTCTCATCACCTTGACCTCGGTCCAGTACAAGAGTGGTGAGGCGACTCAGGCCATGGGCGAGAACATGGCGCTCGCCGTTCTCCTCGACTCGGGCTCTTCGCTCACCTACCTGCCCGATGCTGTGGTCCAGCGCATCTACCAGGCCGTCGGCGCCCAGTTCGACAGCAACGAGGGCGCTACCTACGTGCCTTGCAGCCTGGCCGATGACCGTACGCGCATGCTGAACTTCACCTTCAGCTCGCCCGTCACCATCTCGGTCCCCATGAGTGAGCTGGTGCTGGAGCTAGTCACGTCCTCGGGGCGCCGCCCCTCGTTCCGCAACGGCGGGGCCGCCTGTCTGTTTGGCATCGCGTCCGCGGGCCAGGGCACCAACGTCCTGGGCGACACCTTTCTACGCTCCGCCTACGTCGTCTACGACCTGGAAAACCACGCCGTCTCCCTGGCCCAGTCGAAACTCAACGTCGCACGCAGTAACGTCGTCGAGATTGGAAAGGGCCAGGGCGCCGTCCCCAGCGCCACGGCCGTGCAGAACCCCGTCGCTGCCACCGCCGGCCTGTCGCGGGGTGCTGGCCGCGGCGTCAACAACAACTCGGCCGCATCCGGTGGAGTGCTCCCGCCTCGCGCTGCTGCCCTACTGGCGTTGGTCGCTGCTGTGGGCTTTGCGGCTCTGGCATGACAACATCCATCATTTTTTGGTTATATTCTGATTTGTTTTTCTTTTCTCTTGGTAACGTTTGTTTACATTTCATATATCTGACCTACATCCTCGGGGAGGATCCGTTGGACAGAAGCCATTCTAGCACATTACATGAGTTTATATATATAGCATTAGCATTGCATGGCGTCCTATGGGGATGATTGGGTACTTCTAGTTCAACAAATGATTTTTTGGATATTGACATGCGTATTTCTTTCCACCATGCGTACACTGGTATGAACGGCAGGGGGAAATTCCTCTAGCAGGTAGCCCTCCCGGTTGCTTCACCTGCCCAAGTGCCTGTGGCTTTTCTGCATGCCCGGGCGTTGGCTCCCTTGTGGGTATCCAAGCTTCCCATTCTTTTCGATTTCGGTCCAGTTCAGCACGAATTCCTTCACAAATTTGCGCTATTTTGCCTGGCTGAAAGGGATGCTGGAAATAGCGCCAGAGGTGGTGCCGGAGGTGCTGGATGTGCGGGTCGAGGGCCACAAACGTCACTCCAAACGTGCCTCATCAACTTGGTGCGTAGGGGGAAGACTTGTGCGCATTTCCGACAGGCTTGTTGGCTTTGGGAGGCCTGCTGGCGTGGAGGTAAAGGCACTGCGATAGTAGGGGAAGCGTCCTTGTTGGTTTGGTTGTGAGTGCCTGCGTCTCGGAGCTTTTGTGCGTGCCCAGGGCTCGAGGCGTGCCCAAAGGTCGCAGGTCGGAGGTGGGAGGTTGGGTATCAAGATTACGTTTGGCCTAGCAAAGGGAACATTGGTTGGCGTGCGCCTCGATCGGAAACGGCTTGCCTGGTCTGTAGCCTTCCAAAGGTCGGATCTTGGCGATCCCGATCTACCCTTCTGCCCGAGGCGCTGTAACCCACATACCCAACCCCCAGCTCCAGAGTTGCTCCCATTTGTGAAAGCAGTTGGGGGAGGAAGGTAAAGGTAGGTAAAGTGATGCCACTCGAAGAGGATCCAGGCCGGCCTCCAGCCTAGAGACAAGCCTGATATCTATTTGTGCCAGAGGCTATCAATTGCTATTATGTTTTGATGCTTTCTTTCTGTCTTGTTGTCCCGGGTGGTGATGTGTATGTCTCTTTTGCGCGGCTAGCAGAATGATGGCCAACTTCTGCCAACCGATTCTGGGGCGGGCACGGGCAACTTTAGTATCTGGGCGGGAACGCCGTCTCCGCAGCCCTCGAGGTTATTGCCATTCGTAGAGTCTGCGGGAGCTCTTGCCAGTCAGTGGTCTTCAGTGGTCAAAATAACCTCAAGCCACATCTGGGGCTCAAGGCAGCTACCGGTGGGTATATCGCAAACTACGGGTACCTGTAACTTCCTCGGGCAAATGAGGCCGGTCGTAGTTTAACCAACAGCCAGCGGCCGTCGAGACTCTAGAGAAGCGTCTCCTCATACAGCGCTGGAGAGTCACCGTATTGGGCGGAACCCGATATAATCATGCTTCAAAAGGGCACAAGTCGGAGTAAGATATCTTTCCTATCAACTAGGGCTGAAACCCTAGGACAGAGGCGCGGCGGGAGGACAAGGGCGGTAGAGTTACCGCCTGGTTGTAGATGCGAGACCAACCCATGTTGTACAAAAAAGAGACACGATTCGACGTGCCCATCGTCACACTAGGAGAGTCATACGAAGACCAAATGAAGAAGATCGGCAAGGGGGAAATGAGTAGATGTGCCATCGATGTTCTCGCTTGGCTGCTATCCAAACAAAACAAAAGGGAAACCTCCGCAGCGTGTCCAGAGCTGAAGCTCCTGGCATCTTGCTCCCCTCGATATACATGTTAAATCTCGTCCGACCCAAGCCGCATTCACGACATGAGTCCACGATCAGGGTAGAGAAGAAAAGTCCAAAGAAGATAAGAGCGAGAACCAAGAGAGGAGAAAAGCCTAGCTATCATATCTCCTATATGTCCCAACTCCAACAACGATGCCAATCACGCCTATGGGTACCTTGTATTCGTGATTTCGTAAAAGAAAAGAAAAGGACCAAGCCGAGAATTGGAACTGGGGCAAGCAAGAAAAAGTGGGTAATAAAACTCGAGGGATGGTCGGGAAGTGAATATTAGGCGAACCAGCTTGTGGGCGCGAAGGAGTGTAAGTGTTGTGTATCGATGTGTTGAAATAGAAAGGCTCAAACGCAGCTTGGCAGACATCGAGAAAGCGCCAAATCTTCCGAACTCGAGGATATTATGGCGATCCCCATTTCAAGTGATGGGAGACAGGAAAGGGCTGAGAATGAGCTCATCGGCGTTTGGCCGTTTGTTGTGGTCCATCTCGAAGGTCTGAGCGAGGAAATCCTTGGCTTCGGTGCTCGCATCGTCGGGCACCGTCGGCGTCGTCTTGCCACCGCCGATCTTGAAGATGGCCTGCAGCTGCGTGCAGTCAGGGAAGGGGTGGTTGCCCGTCATCATCTCCACAACGAGACAGCCGAGTGACCAGATGTCGGCCTTGCGCGTGTAGCTGGTCTGCTTAACCACCTCGGGTGCCATCCAGAAGACGGAACCCTGCAGCGACGGTCGGTGCTTGGCGTTATTGGCGCCGTTGAGGACGTTGGTCGCCTCCACCTTCTTGGAAATTCCGAAATCCGAGATCTTGATGAATCCCTTGTTGTCCACAAGGATGTTGGCGCCCTTGATATCACGGTGAATGATGTCGCGGTTATGCAGGTATGAGAGACCGTTGAGGATCTGGCGTACAAAGCTGCGAACAAGGGGCTCCGGGAGCGCGCCGTAAGAGTTCAGCATGGTCTGAACCGAGCCGCCAGGCACGTACTCGAGGAAAATGTTCAACGATTCGGCCGAGGATCCGCAGCCGAGATACTGCACAATGTTGGGATGGCGGAGATCGCGGAGCAGACTGATCTCGCGCTTGAGCGCCTCGATCATGCTCTTCTTGCGCGCGTCGTTTTGGCTGTTGGCACCAGGCGAAGGGGCCTCAACCTGCTTCACCGCCAGGAGCTCGCCCGTGATGGCGTGCAGGGCCAGGTACACAGATCCGAAGGAGCCCTGTCCGATCAAGGCGCCCTTCATCCACTTGCTGTCATCCCAGGACTCGCCCGAGAGGAAGCTCTGCAGGTCCTCGTCGGCGTCCTCGCCGTCCTCGTCGAGTGCCTTGCTCACGTCGCCGAAAGAGCCAGAGCCAGCTGATCCGGAGCCGATGGTACTACCTTCATCGAAATAGCTATGGCGGACGACATTGCCGTCAGGGTCCGTCACGCTGACGGCGGCAGTGTCGGAACCACTGTCGGCAAACGAGACGTATGACTTGCGGTTCGGCTCCATCGAGCCCTCCTCCTGTAGGGTATCCAGCATGGACGAGGCGACCGAGTCCCTGTAACCGAGCCGGCCCGATAGATCACGGGGTCGGGCCTTGGGGATGGCGGCCGTAGCAAGCCAGCTGTCGGCGATTGTGGGGATAGGCGGCACATCCTGTATGCTTGACGCCATGCTGAAGCCACTAGCAACGCTGAGACGGCTGTTGACCTTGCTAAGGCGTGCAGATCGCCGCATGGACAAGCGGGCGGTCCGGTCGATGTCCTCACGGTTGTGGTCAGGGAAATACGTGGTCAGATCCGAGGCGATCAGTTCACTGGGCGGCCTCAAACCGCCGAACTGCCTCAGCACCTTCCTCCGCGGCTGCGAGGGGGCAGGTCGCTCGAGATCGCGGGCGGCGTTGTGAACATTCCTCTCGCGGTCTTGGTACGAGACGGGGGAGAGTGGGGGCTGAAGATTGTCCCAGCTCTCGCCGAGAACCTTCTGCACCTTCAGCTGGCTCCGCGAACCGATGCTGTCCATAGCACGCGTGTGGGTCTGCTGAGCCTCCTCCATGGCGATGGCGGCAGCCCTCTCGAGCTCGGCCATGCCAGGCTCGCCGGCGGGGACGCGGCGGAGGATGAGGCGGTTGCGCTCGGGTCGCTTCTCATCCTTGATAACACGCCACATCTCCGTGTCACCCAGGCGGCGGCACTGCTTGGGGTCAGGGATGGTGCCGGACAGAACCCAGAAACAGTAGTTCCTCTCGTGGTCCTCTCGGAGGGCGAACTTGCGGAGCGTGACGCGCATGACTTCCTCGCAGGTGTTGCAGTCGGCAATCTTGACGACCTTGGTGACTCCGCCGGTAGAGATGACTCGAATGACGTCCTGATTCTGTGGTAACGCAGCCATCAGCGATCCGTCCATACCAGAGTCGGACCTGGTATGTGTGTGTAATACCGATCGTGGTGCAGAGCGGCTCTCTGGGGAGCCAGGGATGCCACTAGAGCCGGATGGGGGCGTAGGCTGTCCCGGGTAGGGATACCGTGAGCGGCCGTTGCGGAATTCGGCGCTGTGGAGGGGTGAGTTCGGCCTCGACGAGGTCGCGGCTCTGCCGGCGTCGAGCGAGTCGATCTGGCGCGAGTATCGCCTGTTCGCCGAGGTGGGCATGGCCCGGCCCCCAGAATGGGGCTGTCGGGGAGAGTCGGTTGAGGGGGCGTACTGGCTATCGAGAGGGCCAAACGAGTCCTGGATAGAGGGCGAACACAAGACAGGGTCAGGACACTGGTCGACTCAAAACTTCACACTTGTGTAGGCAAATAAAGGAACAAAACAAAAATGATACGCATGGCTCAAGCTCACCCTAGTCCGCTTCTTCTGTCCAGCAATAGCCTTGGTCCGTAGCTTCTTGATGCTGAGGAACAGGCGCACACGGTCGCCGACCTTGTCGATGCCCATCTCCTTGAGGACGTCCTTGTCCATCTCGAGCAGGTTCTCGCCGGTGATGTGGTTTTTCCGGAATATCTTCTCGTATTCACCACATCGGACGGTGCGGAGGTACTCGCAGACCTTGTCCTCATCCCAGTGCTTGACAGAGTCTTGGGCGTCGTCGGAGAACTCGGACTCGGTCGGGCTGAAGGACTGGGCATTCGACGGGAACGGGGCCGCCCTCCTCGCGGGAGCATAGGCGGCCTGGGGCGCGCTGGCGACCATGCCGGGGCCGGGCGCGCCCAGCGCGGGCGAGAATGGAGACTTTGAGGCCAACATGGCCGGTTGCTGTGTGTATGGCGCGGGGCCAGATGGCAGGCAGACCCTTGGCTCTGGTGATGGCCGAGCAGAGAGGCCAAGAGAGCGGGCAGGGAGAAGAAAGGAAGAGCGTTTGTGGGCTCAGCTGCCAGGCGGGCCGGGTGGAAATATTTACACGAGCGAGTGTTTGGAAGGGCAAGAAGTATATCCCGGGAGCCGGGCTATGGTGTCACAACAAGGTCAAAGGGCGAGGTTGCGAACCAGCAGCAGCTCCGCACATGGAGAATGGAAGAAAGAAGAGGGGGATGGAGGGGGGAAGAGGTGTGTGAGTAGAAAGGTTGGCAAGTGCCTAGTAGGTAAGTAAGGTAGGTAGTGGGTGTGTGCGTGGGAGAGGGCGGGCAGAGGAACGAGGGTTTCAAATATGGCTTGCTAGCAGCTAGCTCGTGGCCGCGGCGTCCAAAAATGGGGACGTGACACAAACACAGCACGCAGCGGCCATACAGCGAGCAGCTCAGCTGGGGAGAGAGAAAAATAAGCACGGACAGGCACCGGGGTCGTCGGCAAGCAACGTACGGGCAGGGCAGAACAGGGCAAAGCAGGGCATGGGAGGGCGGTGGGAGGGCGGTGGGCAGTCCCAGGTCGCTGCCACTGGAGAATGTGCTAAAGATGTTGCGGCGGGTTTAATTTGGCGATGGAAGGGCTTTCCCTGGGGCAAAAGAGCGGGAAGCAAGAGGGCGGACCAGGGTGTGGTGGTGGTGGTGGAGGGTGCGGCGCGCGATGGTGGGCATGTATCAGCCAGCATCCATCCGCCTCCAAGGATGGGACCAGACGGGCGGATGGCGTGAGTGGATTGGATGCAGGGTCAGGGTCGTGCGAACCGTCAGATTCGCTGGAGACCCACTGGTGGTTCAGTGGCGGGCAGCGGTGGCCCACTGGGCAGTTGGAGCTGGCTTGAGTGCAGAGGCCGAGATCCAGTCGGCGTCCCAGGACGCCGCAGCACAGGCAGTGTCGGCTGCACAATTTGGAAGAATCAGGCACTCAGGACAGCCCGTTGATGGAGAAAGCATGGCAAGCTCGGCCAACCGAGCTGGGCGGGTTGAGAGGCGACTAGGCTGGCCCGGCACCTGATTGGCCGGGCAGACCCCTGCTGCCCAAAAGGCGGCGGCAGCTGGTGTGAAACAAGAGGAGCTGCACGAGTCTCCCTAGCGCGCCCCACCCCTACTGCTGGTGCTGGAGAATGGCGAGCTTCCAGACCGCACGCCACTGCACTCATTGGTGCTGGCAGTCATTGAACCGCATTCCAGCCGACGTCGAGGGGGATTTGGTAAGCAGAGACGGACAAAAAGAATTTGTGGCCTCCCGATCGCCTCCCTCTGATCAGCCTCCTTGTTGCAGAGAGAGATAACGGATGAGCACTACTGTACACCCAGGGGGCCTCAGGGGACTGTGTCCCTTTTTTTTGCCGACGCGGGGGTGAGGTGAGATGCTATTAAAGTGATACACTGCTGCAGCCGTGGGCCGGTACAAGCGAGTGAAGATCACCGGCCGATCATCGCTCGACTTTCTCTTCTCTCATTTTTCACACCCAGCAAGCGGGAAGTGAACCGACAACCCTTTGTCATGCGGGCCAAGAAGCTGAGGACACAAAAAGAAACGGAAAAAAGCGGCCACGCATACCACGCAATAAACGACCCATGCACCCACCCTCACACCTCCCACATGCGCAGAGTGGTGGTGAGGGGGATTTGATACGTGGTGTCTGGCGAGAAATCTACGGCATGCAAATTTAGGGACCATAGAGAGTGCCACGGCGTCCGGCAGCCAGGATCCAAGCACTGCCAGGATGAGATTTCGATGTGCGATTCTGATGGAGAAAGCTGGTGGGAAAGCGCTTCATGCCTTGCAGCGGGCGCCCGCAGTGGGACTCAACTTCCATGTTTCCCTTCCCGTCCTTTGTCTTTGTCCTCTTCAGTCTCCCGCCCTGGTATCTTCTGGGGTCCACAGGGAGCACAAAGGACCGCCTCCCCCTCTTCCGGGGACCTCGTGTCTGCGCCTGTCCAAGATTACCCGTCGGTCCCTACCCAGGCCGCCAGCAGCGAGCATATTCGTTGCAGCTTGGGCTGCCGAACATGACGCGCTGAAAGGGCTGTTTTGTTTGGTGGCGGATTTTTTTGGTCTGTATCGGCTCTAAAGCAAGGGAAAAAATGGCAGACTGTCAAGAATCTCAAGTGGGGGAACCTGCATGCCAACAGGCGTGAAGCCTTGCCGACCTGCCGCCTCCCCGCTCGTGCTTGTTTGCGCACAGAGGTTGCCAGTCTAGCAGGGTTGAGAAGGATGTGGAACGATAACCTCGCTCCTGCAAATATACCTGTTACGGACATTTGCATCTGCCTCAGCCCACAAACCCGACGCCACGTGACAGAGCACCACGCTTTGCATCTTTGCGAGCCCAACAACAACAACAACAACGAACAAACGACCTTGTATAGGAATTGCCATCACGAGTTGAGTAGGGCAAAGAAGTGCCGCGCCCGTGGGGCCCATCTGAAACCGTGCCAGTTTCGTGTCGACGCTAGCTTAAGACGGGTTGGTGCGCGACGACACCAAGGCCACGCATCCCTCACCAACCGGCTAGAGACCCTGCACAATCCGGGTTGGTGCGCCCGTCCGTTCTCGGCCGACTTTGGAGCTACCAACCCCCAACACCGCTCCCGTCGATACATTCCATTCCTTATAGGGTAATGATGATCTGCCCGGGCTCTCGACAACTGCCGCCAGAACAACCCAACCCCCAATGGGCTTTCCGGAATGCCTGCATACCTACCGTAGTAGTAGCCAAGATCTGCTAGCAAGGCCGGGACCAAATGTCTGCCATCAGGCTAGCAACCCTGCGATTATCCGGAGGAGCGTTGAGGGATACGACCCTCCGGAAGCCCCCCGTCAACACCCGCAGGTTAATAAGCACCGCATGGCATATGCATGAGAAGCAATTTTAGAATCCAGTGGGTGGACAGCTCGTGGTGTCACCGCCGGGCCTAGGATTTATTGATGGCAGGCGGCGGTGAGGAAAAGGCCTCGTGACCGCCCGGTCCCTCCATTGTGCAGGGGCTCATCGATGCGTGTCTGGCAGGACCCACAAGGAAGGCAACTTGGCAGGGAGACGGCGTTCTTCTTGCGTGTTGAGCGTGGGGAATGTGTCTTGTCGTTGGTCGTGGGTTGGTCGGTACTATCATATCGACGAGAATAGGTAGAAGCAGATGGAGTAGGGAGGGCTAAACCGGGGTTGGGGGTCGAAACGTTCACAGTATTGCATACCAAGACATGCCCAAATAGTTTGCCCAAGAAAAGCGTATCGCCAACAACGCGAAGCCGAAATCCAAAAGGACAACAACAGCCTTCCCCAGACACACGAAACAAACACGCAATCTAGCCTTGGCGGTCGAACCCAATGGAGGAAAGCCAGAAAGAGAAGAGAGCCGGGTCAGGCAGTCGGGGTGGGAGCTGGCGCTAGGGGCGTACGCGTGCTTGACTAGCAGCGGGTAGTACCGTAGCATCGAAACCATCGCGCGTCCAACCCAGGGCTGCGGCGAAGGAAGGGGACGGGGAAACAAAAAGGCCAAAAGGAAGGACGTTTCGAAACATGGCGCGCCGGCTCAGGGTGACCCATGCCCTGAAACAGCCCTCATTCGCTCCACGCGGCGCGTGCGAGGCTGTCAGTCAGCCCGTCCACAGCCCGCAAAAAGCAACGCAAAAAGATTCACCAGTAAAACGTGCTTGCTTCTGTTTTTAGGCGGCCCGACCCTGGCCGCCCACTCAAAACAAGGCGGGTTCGATATGGGCTCGTGGCACTTGTCGCCCCTGCCTTTCCATACCCAGTATGCCTGCATCGGGAAAGATATTATTGCTAGGTTGTGGCACAGGCGACAAGGTGTTTTTTTTGTCATTGTTTTATTTCCTCCTTCCTTCCAGTCGCTTGTGCTGCTTCTATTCCATACTAGTACTCTTTCTGTGGCTGCCATCGACGGCACAAGCGGTGGACCCTGCAAATGCGCACGCACACGGCGCCAACGCCTCATGTGCGGATGGCGCGACGCCAGCCTTGGCGACGGGATCGAAAGGTTGCAGAAATGTGTTTCTTGTTGTTCGGATTGACTTTGTCGGATTCCAGTGGACTTTGTCGGAAACAAAGTTCAATGGTGTAGCATCCTCATACGGGGCAAGGGTTTGTACATTTGTTTGTTGGCGGCCCTTTTGAGGAAATGAGCTGAGCAGGGCGAAACGGACAGAGTCCTTCATCTTTGCCTCTCGTCCGCACTGGTTTCGTTGGAGATGAGGCTCTGCCCACAGTCCCTCCTCCAGACGGGCCATAGACGTTCTAGTCCCGGAAGGATGGAACAAATGAGCGGATGGCGAGGCCGCCGGCTAGTCCGCGGTGTCCCTGTATGTCAATTGGGCCACGCCCGTTACGCAAGCTTTCCCAGGCTGTCGGGAGGAGAGGCCGATGTGGGATGGACGCTGTGACACGGGGGTTGGACCAGGTCCTTTTTTTCGTTTCTTCGTTTCTTCGTCGAAACACGTCCTCTCTCTCGACCCTGCATGAGACGAACTCGAGATGACGAGGCGCTCTGTACGTGCGTACTGTGTTTCCGCGGGTGGGGACGTCAGCCCAACAGTCGCTTGAAGCGACGAGGCCTCAGCAGGCGACGGGTCGTCGGACAATTGGATCGATGTGAACCCCGGTTTGATGGGCGATCTGAGAGATACACGTGCACGGTGGCTAGTGGGTGGCGTCGTCAAAGCCACACCTCCACTGTGCTCCATCTGCTCTGCCGTTCGCATAGGCTTGGCGACACTCCCTGACCGCGCTGGTGTTCATGATGCGTAGCATTACGTCACCAGGCATTCCGCCGCTGTTTTTGCACTCCATTTTGGCTGGCGTGCCCAGCAGCGCCGTCTGGTTGTAGCCGTCAGTGGCTGTCGCAGACGGTGATTTTCCGGTGGTCGCTTTCTTCACGCCTTTTTTTTTTCCCCCTCTGCCTGGCAACCGTGAGCACTGGCTACATGGCGACCTGATGGCCAACGGGGGTCGCCGACGCACCGTATGGGGACCACACAAGATGCAGCCTGGGCCGTCAGCTTGGGCCAGGAGCCAGCAGCCAGCGACAGCAGCCAGCCTCGACCAGCGTCGTCGGCAGACTTGATGCTGCGGTCTGGCTGCGTACAGCATGCCGCAGTCGCATGATGCAACCTGGCTGCCGGCTTGGGCAGTGTCTAGACGTACCTGGTCGGCGGGCAGCTCGAGTCTGTCGTTTTCCCCCCAGCTCGCCTCCACGGGGGG